ATATAAAAGCATCGTTAAAATTAAAAATATATTTAGTAATATTTAAAGCCTCAAACTTTGGGAGGACAGAACTAGTGTAGCCCATAAACTTTCTTTTTTTGCACTAAATGAATGTGAGCATTAATTTGAAAAAGAAAAAAAACTAATATAATCATTTCACCAACATAATCAAATATTGTCCGTCACAACGCTTATATTACAGTGTACAAAGCTTACATGATAACCTACAATATTGACATGATACTTCGCAATGGTCGGTGAGGTGATAGATGTGTTTAATTTATTTTTGGCTAAGTTCGAGGGCCTAATTAATTTTTTTAAAAAATTTGAAAACTTTTTTAATTTTTTTGTAAAACCAATAAATTATTTAAATTTAAAATTTAAAATTTAAAAAATTATTAAGATATTCAATACATTAAATAAAAAAATATTACAATTTTTTTAAAAAAAATTCAGTTTAATAACCACATTGAGTATAAAAAAGTTCAAGGTCATAATAATTTTTTTGCAAAAGTTTGAGAGTTTCAGGGATCATTAAGTCAAAAAAATGTTGTTAGAAAAATTTGAACCCATGTAAGTCAAGTTAAAAATTAAAATCTGATGTTTTCTCATTTTTCAAAACTTTTAAAAAATTAATAAAAATATTAAAAACATATTTTTTATGTTTTCATATTTTCACTTGTTTTTATTTTTCAGAAATTATTTTCTAATTTTACACTCAAACACATTTCTTTAACGTTTTCTATTTTCTAAAAAAAAATGAAAATAACATATATTCCTTCGAATGACCATAAACTCCTAACCCTTAAAGTGGAATATGAGAGGGATTATAAAGTGATGATGTCAAAACTTACATCAAATTAGATGTTGACAAAATTATGATCTTTAATTAAAATTCTCTGAGTAAATTTGTGATGATATTGTGTAAAACAAAGAAAGTAAAAAATAACAAGAACAAAATATTTAAGAAAAAAGAATTTTATATTATTTTTTCAATATGAAATGTGTTGAAAGATTTCTTCAACCTTTAAATTTATATTTATAATTATAATTAGCAGTAGTTAGATAAAATTTTAATATTAATAATACTAATAGATGCTTATTATTCTTTATAAAAACTGCTAATTTTATTAAAATAGAAAATATCCAAATTATAATAAAAGTTTACAATCATAATCGTAAACTAAACACCTAATAAATATATTTTTCTAAACACGAGAAAACTAACCACTTAAAATCACAAAGATCATACAAGGAAAATGTTAAAAGACCTAACCAAATAAACTACGATAAAAAGATAGATACAAACAAATATAACTGCATCAACAAATAAACCACAAAAGATGATGAAACTATTAAAAGTCCACTGACCAATCACGAATTAGAATTGAGTGACGTGAAAATACTATCCACGAATGCAAATCGCGTATCCAAATTCAATCCGAGAATTCAAAATAGAGAAGATTAACATGATAACAAATAAAACATCATCTTGATCAATCGTGACGATATCAAATCCAACCCTTAAAAAAGATTAACGAAAATAACAACCAAACGACCAAAAACGTCATATATAAAAAAGAAGGCATGCCATAATGGCAAAATGATTACAAATAAAAAAATAAAAAATAAAAAAACATTATAATAAAACAAAGGAAAAACAATAAATATCGTCGACGATCACAAAGATAAAAAAATATTGACGATGGCCAAGGAAAAGAAAGAAAGAAAGAAACAATAACTAATAAATACATAATAAAGACTTAATAATAAAGTAAATCAAAAATCTTATCTTATACATAAAATTTTACTCATAATAAACGTTCATATATATAAATATTTATAACATATTCATATTTTTGTGTACTTCTTTAAAACTCTAAATCATTCTCTTGGATGATTGATTCATTTATTTTTAGGGTAAAGTATAGTAATAGTCATTAAACTTTTTTGAACCTTGTATTTAGGCCCCCAACTTTCAAACTTGCAATACAATCCTATAACATTTAGTCCGTTTGCAATATGGTCCCCAACGTAACCGGTCGTTTGACGCCGTTACACCGTCGTTAGAAGAAGATGACATGGCAGTCATCCAACATTTAGTCCGTTTCTAATATGGTCACTGAACTTTTTAGGCGCTTGCATTTAGATCCCTCAACTTTTAAAACTTGCAACACAACCCTCAATTTTATTCTAAACCCCAACTTTAAAAAATAATTCAATTATATTTTAAACCCTAAATTCTAAAATACTTTAATTTAGGGTTTGGAATATAATTAAAGTATTTTAGAATTTAGGGTTTAGAATGTAATTGAAGTGTTTTGGAATTTTGAACATGAATTTGCTATTTGACAGTGTTTACTTTAATATAAATTTGAGGTTTACTACATGCACATCCAACGGATGCTGCACTTTGAACATGAAAAGTGCACCTATCACGTTTATTACATAAACTGTTGAAGTAAAAGTAACAAGGCCAATTTGTCTTGTTTGTAGCTTCCGCACTTTGGTATGACAATCTAATAGGTTTGGATGGAACTTGAGCATGCATATCCAACGACTGCGAAAATAGTAAAGAGTTTTAGTTCATAGGACTACAACATACATCCAAGAAATAACTAAAATAATCCAAGAATATTAATTAATAACTCATTCAAAAAGAAGGACTTAATAAATAAAGGGAAAGAGGTTCAGTCATAGTCACTCCAAAGCGTCAAATGGGTTGTTTAAGATAGACATTAGATGCCAAATACAACATTATCAGTTGCAAATGCATTAATGGCATGCCCTTTTAACATATAATTGCTTCTAATGATCCATGTTTAATGTTCCTCAATAGCTAAACATGATAAAAATCTAAAGCAGATAGCGGAACTAAAGTCATAGAACCCCATAATTCTTGTAAATTCATGGCATGTCAGCAATAAAAGACATTGTAAAACATAGAGGACATTACAACAAGCATATATATGCCAAAAATGAAAGTGCAAATGTGCAATGACCGGACAACATATCACGTAGCTGCTATAAATATACTACCCTGTCATGATGCCTTTCGAGTTGCGTGCATAAAAAATTGTCTTCTAAAACTATAATTCAATACATATTCAACTGTAAAATTTCCAAAACATGTAAAAAAATCAAGTTCGTTCACGATATATCAATCCATAATCAACATGAACTTAATAAAAAGAATACGAGCTCACAGGACGCCGAAAACCACATGTTAAATCAATAGAATTCCTAGTAAACTAGTACCAGAAGTCTCTCGAGTTGAGCCTGGCAATTTCACTATATCGATACTCACACCAATTCCCTTATTTAAAGAAAAACCAAACAAGAAGATAAAAAATTATCCTAGGACCCTCTTTCACTTCTATTATGATGGACTAAATATCTTTCCTAAGGAGTACTAAAGTTTTGATTAAGAAGAAATAAAGAAAATTAGATGGTTTTGGTTCAAAACTAACACTGAATATCCAGATCCTTGACATGCAGTTCCAGAAACATAAAAATTTCAACAAAAAACACACAATGCGAGCTGAAAATGGGAAAGTGAGAAAGAGGAAAAGCTTACTTCAAGATAGCCCAAAAGAGAAAATAAATACCTTCTTGCAAATTAGGGGAGAGGCTAAGAAATAAACGCAATCGGTGTTGCGTTTCAGTAATTCTTCATCGACACCTCCACAGGATTCAAAGTTAGATTAGAATTTCCCTTGCATCCCTGACTGAAAAGTTATGTTGGAAATGTGAAGAGAGAGGCGAAAAAGGAAATTCGAGATCGAAAAGGAATTTGGGGTTTATAATAAAATTGAGGACTGTGTTGCAAGTTTTAAAAGTTGGGGGACCTAAATGCAAGCGCCTGAAAAGTTCAGTGACCATATTACAAACTTACTAAATGTTGGAGGATTGCCATGTCATCTTCTTCTAACGACAGTGTAACGGCGTCAAACGACCGATTACGTCGGGGATCATATTGCAAACGAACTAAATGTTGGAGGATTGCATTATAATTTTTAAAAGTTGAGGGACCTAAATGCAAGTGTCAGAAAAGTTCAGTGACTATTACTATACTTTACCCTTATTTTTTATTATTTCTTTCTATTCATATCATCATATATTATAAATTTATTTTTACTCATAATAAACGTTTATATAAATAAATATTTATAACAAATTCATCATTTTTGTTTACTCCTTTAAAACTCTAAATCATTATCTTGCATAATTGATTCATTTATTTTTATTATTTCTTTCTATTCATATCCCACAATAAACATAACTTTAATTTATTATTATTTTATATATTTATGATACACTTAATTAATTATAAATTTATTTTAATTTTAATTTTAATTATGATGCATTTATTTAAATATATCTTAGATTGATTTAAATATTAAATAAACATATTAATATAAATATTAAAAAATAGAGTTTTTACAATACAAATCCGTGTTTATCGATCGACGCGGCTAATCCAATTCATCTGTGTTGCCGTCTCCCCTCTCATTCTCTTGGCGCCTAATCTTCTTCTTCGGCTGTTTTCATCCGGTTTCTCTTAATTTTCTCCCTTCTCTTTCTCTGCACTGTAATTTTCTCATTCTCTCTTATATGTATATTCGTTCTTCTCGATTCAATTTCACTTTCCGCATCGAGATTCGTTCTTTCTTTTTTCTGTCATGATTACCAGATTTTAGGAATGTGTATAAAGTGTCATTGTATGCATCGACTATTAATATTCAGTCTGGTTTTGATGTGAAATCTGATCGTTCAATTATTATATAAATTAGATTCTCTATTTCTTTTTTTTCTCTCTCGAAGATCTCGATGTTACTCGACGTTTTTTTCCAGCTATCACATTGGCGTCTAATCTATATATGTCCGATGGTCGTTGATCGAATCATTTATTTTTTAATTATCTTGTGATGAGATTTGGTTGCAGTGTGTATATTTCAGGAATTTTGGCGTGATTCAAGGAGAATTAGAGGCATTTTATATACTTTTGTGGTGTTTTGGATTTGGAACAATGTCCTCGAAAGGCCAACATCTACCAGTGACGTTGTCTGTTCTACTGGAGCGAGAATTGACAAATGGAAAGATAGAGAAACCTGAGATTGTACATGGACTAGCGAGCCAGACCAAGAAAGGGGAGGACTTTACGTTGCTTAAAACGGATTGCCAAAGAACAATGGGAGATGGTGTCACCACATTCTTAGTTTTTGGGGTGAGAATTTTTGTCTCCCTTGAACCATTGCTAATCATATACTAATATGCTCGAGACGTTGACCTATCGCCATAAAGCTATAATTTGTATCACTAGCATACAAAGATTTAGAAGCTTTTTTCTGTTGGGCTATTGGTGCAATCACCTGTACAATATGTTTTGTTTTCCCCAAATGTACTTGTCATTATTTATTTTCTGTTGAAAATCCTTGGAAGGATCATCATTTAAGGCGATTCTTTATTGATTTTCTTTATTGTTTTTTGCTCTCTTTTTATGGTTTTGTTTTACTAAACTTGTTCCCTTTTTGCAGCTCTTTGATGGACACAATGGATCTGCTGCTGCTATTTACACTAAAGAGAATCTCCTTAATAATGTCCTAAAGGCTATTCCGACGAATCTTAATACAGATGAATGGGCTGCTGCGCTGCCAAGGGCTTTGGTTGCTGGCTTTGTTAAAACAGATAAAGATTTCCAAGAGAAGGGTATGAGTTTTTTTGGTAAACATATCCGAATATAGCATATAATTCATAGGATAATCTTTAGACAGAAAGGGACTATTGCTCTAGATATTAATTTTAATGTTACAAGACTTGGCCATTCACTTTGGACTAGTTGGTACTATTAATGCAAATTGCATCTTTTTCAGGCACTCTTCTATGGTAGCACATATGCTTTATCCGTGTAGGCAGTGTAACCCCCCAGACCGATGCGGGTAGCCCGATCCGATCCGGAAAGTCACATTAGGGCCACCGGAGCGACCCACTGTAAAAATAGCGGAAAATTTAAATCTTTTTATCCGAACATGTAAACTTATAAAATCATTTGTCACTATTTAAAAATAAAACATATTTCCAGACTCGTATATAAATCAAAATACAATTACATGCTCCCTAATCACATGTACCATACTCTGCAACAACGCCGGAAGAACTCCCTTACTGAAGTCGATAGATGCTCTGGTACAATTCTTTTAACCTGAAAAGATGAGTAATAGAGTGAGCTTCGAAAAGCTCAGTAATACAGAACTACCAGATGATGCTGATGAACGTGCAGATACAGATAAATATTTATTTCCTTATTGTTTCCGAACATTTACATATTTTTATGCTGAGCAGAGATCCTACTGATATTTCAGGTGGTAACGGACAATGAGCTTTCGTTTCAGAGAAATATTTCAGATGACTGAGTTCAGGAGATCAGAATAGGTTTTCTAGTGTGTTCCCAAAAATCATGTAACTTTTCAGATTTTTTTTTAAAACACATATATATATATACCCCCATCCGTCACGAACAAAATGTATAGTTTCCCCAGAACCATACAACCCCGTCACTAACAGTAAGGCCCTGAGCACACAGCCGAGGAACCGGTAAGTAAGGCCCTGAGCACACAGCCGAGGAACCTCCAAGTAATCTTCCTCCAACAATACCCCCCAATAAAACATGTTCCGTCCGTAAACGGATATATCAAAAATCAAAACATAATTCAAGTCAAGTATCATATCAGAATCCAGGTCATGTATCAGATCAGAATCCATGTCAATATCAGATCAGAATCCAGGTCAGGATCATAATAGAATTCAAGTCGGAAATCAGATAAAATATTTATATGATTAGGGAACACACCAGAGTTTACAGATATTATTCAGAGGTATTGGATAATCTTAACATGTAGAGAAACATGAATATTCAGTATACCGATAGGATATCGGAATTTAGAATCACTATTTGAAATAGTTCATTAACTGACAGAATCATCAGTTATTCAGAATGTGAATTATCAGGATATTATCTTATTCGGACAGTTTTCAGAAGCTGTACGTAATCAGAAGGGTATTCAGAATCCTTTACATCCATGTCGATTGATCGGATAATCGAACAACTTGAGAACGAAGATTCAGAACCTTAACAATCTATGTCGACTGGTCAATTCATTTTCCTTCTAGGGTATTTACTCTTTAATACCACAAATTCTTGTCCGTAGACCATTTTCGGAATTATCGCTGAATAAATCTTCCAATGACTTTATTTCATTTCCACACTTCCACAATATCATGAAATGTCGACGTACTTGATTAATTTGTTCATAACACATTGTAATTGTACACTACGTAAACTCATCAGAGTTTCCAGACTTATCCAAATCACTTACTAAATCCTCAGTCATTGAGGTTACCTATTTCATTTAGCAGTCATCTCCATTCCAGTTACTTCAGAATTTTCCAGAGTAATTCAAACGTTCCTGAATTTCAGATACATGTTGTACTTCCATCCCATTCAATTTGGTCTTCGTGGTTGATTGTTGAACAAACGTCCAATTCTTAGTACTGAATACGATCTAGATCTGAGCTGAACTGAATACTTCCAAGATTCGTCATCGAGCCAAACTTGAGAAGACGAACATATGTTCCAGTAATATCTATGCCATTCAGGTATTGACATAGCTTTAGGTTTGATCTACTCACTTAAATTATTTTCCATTACCTTTAAAGGTAGTCCAATACATATGCTTACTTGGATTCCTTAATTAATCCAAGACATTTACTTAATTTAGGCCATAAGGGTATTTTGGTAATTTTGATGTTTAGTTTTGTTCCATTCATTTCAGAACTCGAGGATATTCAATCATTCCTGAGCTTGGTGATATTCTTGGGTCATTTCCATTACAGGGGTATTTTGGTCATTTTACAGATCTACGGTATTTCAATCTTTTCCTTCCATCCGATCTTATTATTTAATTCAATCTTATCATTTACTTCAGTCATTTCGAACAATTCTGACAGCAGAATACCCCGATAAATTACTCTTCCAGTATTTACTCATTATTCGAATATTTTCAGGTCAAGTGTCTTCTCAGACTTTACAAACGGAATATCATAAATTTTCCTGCACTAAGTCGGGATCTTAACAATTAAATCCGTACTTAATCGAGTTAAGTATGAATCCTCTAAGTATTTTCTCATTCAGAGTCATCTCAGACTATTCTACCTCTTAAGGCATTTCCGTAATTTCTTAACCAGATAAGTTCGATATTAGCTCTTAACGAAAATAATATAATTTAGAGATCCTATGATTAATTGCTTTCTTGAACAATCTCTAATCTTGAAATAATTCCCTTAACACACTTCTAGTATCTTGCATAAACCTTCTTGGGGTTAAAAACCGATTCTCCATAATTTCCAAGTAAAACTAACATTTCTTATGCACATCAATAGTTTTAGCAGATCAATAATTCTTCTCAGATTTATTAATCCACTTCCAGAGACAATTCTTATCATTTTCCAACATAAGGGTAATTTCGTAATTTCCCCTAATCGAAATATTATCTTAATTTATCATCTAAGTACCTTTAATGAGATAAATTATAATCTACAATCCATGGTTAATTCTTTTATTACTTAATTCCGGAACTTGTAATTTAATTCAAACCGTCCTCCAATTTCTTATAATAGTCATCTGAGCCATATTCAGTTATCTACTTTCTACCGTATTCGTACCTAGTGTAGATCTTCATTAATTACACATATGAGACCAAATATTTCCATTCATGCATTTATCAATACCAACATGTTCCATAAAGCATAAAGAGGTAGTAAAGTATTACCTCGATTTCCGTGCAATACTGATCGACCATAAAAATTCCATTCGAACGCCTTTGATCTTCAATTCAACTTCCAATAATTCCTCAGATACATATCAACATAAATTATATCAGAAACGAAGCTTAATTACGATAAACGGATCGAATTGGGTGATAAATCAGTGAAAGACGGCTTACCGGGTTCGAATTTGGCGAAACGGACTTCGGATTCGGATTCATGACGTCGAAAGCATAAAATATGACTTTTCGAAAATTCAGAATTTTCGATCAAAATCAAAGTCAACGGGTTTGACCGGCAATTTCGAGACCTTCGGGTTCGAATTTCGAAAAACGGACAGCGGAATCGGATTTGGAACGTCGAAAAATGTCAGGATAGGTATACTCGGTCGAAGTCAAAGGTCGTTTAATGCCCGATCAAAGCCGGTCAAAGTTTTGGTCAACAGTGGTCAACTCCGGTCAACGGTCAACGGGTCAACAGTCAACGGGTCAACGGGTCGGGTCAACGGGTCGGGTCGGGTCAACTGGTCGGGTAAACGGGTCGGGTAAACGGTCGGGTCGGGTCGGGCTATGACCGGTCAAACCGGTCAACTATCCACTAAAACCGGTCAAACCGGTTACTTTTGTCTTCCCCACGCGCAGTGGCGGCGCGTGGGGGCGCGTGAACAGTGATAAAATCCCGGAAAAATTTCTAAAAATTATTTTGAGCGATTTCGAGATACTTACAAAGCTCGGTTCACAATTTTGAACGGCGGAGAGCTCGATTTCAACAAATCGGAAACTTTAACCGCTTCACCTCCACACGCGCCGCCGCCGCCGTAGAAAAGGGAGGACACCGGTGGACTCGAAACGGCACAAGGAACACGATGGTGCAGGAGGTGTCGTAAACGGATGACCCGATCGTTGTGAATCGATGAAAAACCAACTAAAACCGAGTTATTACCGACGATACTTCCGACTGAAATTAACGACGAACGGAGATGATTCACGACGAAATGTTTGAGGGGTTTTGTTCCTCGGTTGACAACGAACACGATGGTGGTTTCGGCTCGTCGATCGGAGGTCGGACGGCGAGTAGATCGGAGTTCGAAGTAGGGAGAACGGGAGAGGAAAACTGGAAAATTTTCCGCTGAACCTGCGCACGGGGGAACTTATAATTCAACATATATAAAAATTGGTTAAATCATGACTTTAGCCACTAAACTTCATGCATTTCTTAAAACGGTCTGCCATCTTTGAAATCTGACAATTTAATCCCCAAATTTCTTCCAAATACCAATTAAATCCACCACTTTATAATTTCTAAATTTTAGCCCCTAAATTGGGGTGTTACAATTCTCCCCTCCTTAAAAGAATTTCGTCCTCGAAATTCATTAATGTCACATAATTGCAGAAATGAAACTTCCATCAGTTCTTTCATATCTTTCATGTAGCTTTTATAGAAACACAGATCCTTCACTAATCCTTAATCAGTTGAGTATACATTCTTATCAGAACTTTTCCTCATTTCAATAAAAGAATCTGAACGAAAATTTTCTCGAGTAATCAATCTCTTCAGAATTCTCCCTCAGTCCAAGTAAATAATTAAAACAACTTTATCCTTGTGAAATCAATTCAGCCTTGGTTACGTGAATAGGCTCGTAGAGCAGCAACATATCTAAATTTTATTTCTGGAGTCGAGTCAGAATTTCTCAGATGAATAACTCTCACATAGCTAAGGTACTTTACTGCGTTAAGACAGATGTTACTGGAATTCCTTTTTGTACAAGTATAGCCTTAACAGATAGAAACTTCAGTTTGTTCATTACAGATAGGGGCTCAGCCCTGGAGTTCCAGCTCAGAGAGGTACGATTGCAGTCTAGGGGCATGTATTGATCAGACATATTTTGACATTCGACCGGCCGATCTATCTTGAAAAATCTTGACTCAAACCATAGCTCTGATACCACTAAATGTAACCCCCCAGACCGATGCGGGTAGCCCGATCCGATCCGGAAAGTCACATTAGGGCCACCGGAGCGACCCACTGTAAAAATAGCGGAAAATTTAAATCTTTTTATCCGAACATGTAAACTTATAAAATCATTTGTCACTATTTAAAAATAAAACATATTTCCAGACTCGTATATAAATCAAAATACAATTACATGCTCCCTAATCACATGTACCATACTCTGCAACAACGCCGGAAGAACTCCCTTACTGAAGTCGATAGATGCTCTGGTACAATTCTTTTAACCTGAAAAGATGAGTAATAGAGTGAGCTTCGAAAAGCTCAGTAATACAGAACTACCAGATGATGCTGATGAACGTGCAGATACAGATAAATATTTATTTCCTTATTGTTTCCGAACATTTACATATTTTTATGCTGAGCAGAGATCCTACTGATATTTCAGGTGGTAACGGACAATGAGCTTTCGTTTCAGAGAAATATTTCAGATGACTGAGTTCAGGAGATCAGAATAGGTTTTCTAGTGTGTTCCCAAAAATCATGTAACTTTTCAGATTTTTTTTTAAAACACATATATATATATACCCCCATCCGTCACGAACAAAATGTATAGTTTCCCCAGAACCATACAACCCCGTCACTAACAGTAAGGCCCTGAGCACACAGCCGAGGAACCGGTAAGTAAGGCCCTGAGCACACAGCCGAGGAACCTCCAAGTAATCTTCCTCCAACAATACCCCCCAATAAAACATGTTCCGTCCGTAAACGGATATATCAAAAATCAAAACATAATTCAAGTCAAGTATCATATCAGAATCCAGGTCATGTATCAGATCAGAATCCATGTCAATATCAGATCAGAATCCAGGTCAGGATCATAATAGAATTCAAGTCGGAAATCAGATAAAATATTTATATGATTAGGGAACACACCAGAGTTTACAGATATTATTCAGAGGTATTGGATAATCTTAACATGTAGAGAAACATGAATATTCAGTATACCGATAGGATATCGGAATTTAGAATCACTATTTGAAATAGTTCATTAACTGACAGAATCATCAGTTATTCAGAATGTGAATTATCAGGATATTATCTTATTCGGACAGTTTTCAGAAGCTGTACGTAATCAGAAGGGTATTCAGAATCCTTTACATCCATGTCGATTGATCGGATAATCGAACAACTTGAGAACGAAGATTCAGAACCTTAACAATCTATGTCGACTGGTCAATTCATTTTCCTTCTAGGGTATTTACTCTTTAATACCACAAATTCTTGTCCGTAGACCATTTTCGGAATTATCGCTGAATAAATCTTCCAATGACTTTATTTCATTTCCACACTTCCACAATATCATGAAATGTCGACGTACTTGATTAATTTGTTCATAACACATTGTAATTGTACACTACGTAAACTCATCAGAGTTTCCAGACTTATCCAAATCACTTACTAAATCCTCAGTCATTGAGGTTACCTATTTCATTTAGCAGTCATCTCCATTCCAGTTACTTCAGAATTTTCCAGAGTAATTCAAACGTTCCTGAATTTCAGATACATGTTGTACTTCCATCCCATTCAATTTGGTCTTCGTGGTTGATTGTTGAACAAACGTCCAATTCTTAGTACTGAATACGATCTAGATCTGAGCTGAACTGAATACTTCCAAGATTCGTCATCGAGCCAAACTTGAGAAGACGAACATATGTTCCAGTAATATCTATGCCATTCAGGTATTGACATAGCTTTAGGTTTGATCTACTCACTTAAATTATTTTCCATTACCTTTAAAGGTAGTCCAATACATATGCTTACTTGGATTCCTTAATTAATCCAAGACATTTACTTAATTTAGGCCATAAGGGTATTTTGGTAATTTTGATGTTTAGTTTTGTTCCATTCATTTCAGAACTCGAGGATATTCAATCATTCCTGAGCTTGGTGATATTCTTGGGTCATTTCCATTACAGGGGTATTTTGGTCATTTTACAGATCTACGGTATTTCAATCTTTTCCTTCCATCCGATCTTATTATTTAATTCAATCTTATCATTTACTTCAGTCATTTCGAACAATTCTGACAGCAGAATACCCCGATAAATTACTCTTCCAGTATTTACTCATTATTCGAATATTTTCAGGTCAAGTGTCTTCTCAGACTTTACAAACGGAATATCATAAATTTTCCTGCACTAAGTCGGGATCTTAACAATTAAATCCGTACTTAATCGAGTTAAGTATGAATCCTCTAAGTATTTTCTCATTCAGAGTCATCTCAGACTATTCTACCTCTTAAGGCATTTCCGTAATTTCTTAACCAGATAAGTTCGATATTAGCTCTTAACGAAAATAATATAATTTAGAGATCCTATGATTAATTGCTTTCTTGAACAATCTCTAATCTTGAAATAATTCCCTTAACACACTTCTAGTATCTTGCATAAACCTTCTTGGGGTTAAAAACCGATTCTCCATAATTTCCAAGTAAAACTAACATTTCTTATGCACATCAATAGTTTTAGCAGATCAATAATTCTTCTCAGATTTATTAATCCACTTCCAGAGACAATTCTTATCATTTTCCAACATAAGGGTAATTTCGTAATTTCCCCTAATCGAAATATTATCTTAATTTATCATCTAAGTACCTTTAATGAGATAAATTATAATCTACAATCCATGGTTAATTCTTTTATTACTTAATTCCGGAACTTGTAATTTAATTCAAACCGTCCTCCAATTTCTTATAATAGTCATCTGAGCCATATTCAGTTATCTACTTTCTACCGTATTCGTACCTAGTGTAGATCTTCATTAATTACACATATGAGACCAAATATTTCCATTCATGCATTTATCAATACCAACATGTTCCATAAAGCATAAAGAGGTAGTAAAGTATTACCTCGATTTCCGTGCAATACTGATCGACCATAAAAATTCCATTCGAACGCCTTTGATCTTCAATTCAACTTCCAATAATTCCTCAGATACATATCAACATAAATTATATCAGAAACGAAGCTTAATTACGATAAACGGATCGAATTGGGTGATAAATCAGTGAAAGACGGCTTACCGGGTTCGAATTTGGCGAAACGGACTTCGGATTCGGATTCATGACGTCGAAAGCATAAAATATGACTTTTCGAAAATTCAGAATTTTCGATCAAAATCAAAGTCAACGGGTTTGACCGGCAATTTCGAGACCTTCGGGTTCGAATTTCGAAAAACGGACAGCGGAATCGGATTTGGAACGTCGAAAAATGTCAGGATAGGTATACTCGGTCGAAGTCAAAGGTCGTTTAATGCCCGATCAAAGCCGGTCAAAGTTTTGGTCAACAGTGGTCAACTCCGGTCAACGGTCAACGGGTCAACAGTCAACGGGTCAACGGGTCGGGTCAACGGGTCGGGTCGGGTCAACTGGTCGGGTAAACGGGTCGGGTAAACGGGTCGGGTCGGGTCGGGCTATGACCGGTCAAACCGGTCAACTATCCACTAAAACCGGTCAAACCGGTTACTTTTGTCTTCCCCACGCGCAGTGGCGGCGCGTGGGGGCGCGTGAACAGTGATAAAATCCCGGAAAATTTCTAAAAATTATTTTGAGCGATTTCGAGATACTTACAAAGCTCGGTTCACAATTTTGAACGGCGGAGAGCTCGATTTCAACAAATCGGAAACTTTAACCGCTTCACCTCCACACGCGCCGCCGCCGCCGTAGAAAAGGGAGGACACCGGTGGACTCGAAACGGCACAAGGAACACGATGGTGCAGGAGGTGTCGTAAACGGATGACCCGATCGTTGTGAATCGATGAAAAACCAACTAAAACCGAGTTATTACCGACGATACTTCCGACTGAAATTAACGACGAACGGAGATGATTCACGACGAAATGTTTGAGGGGTTTTGTTCCTCGGTTGACAACGAACACGATGGTGGTTTCGGCTCGTCGATCGGAGGTCGGACGGCGAGTAGATCGGAGTTCGAAGTAGGGAGAACGGGAGAGGAAAACTGGAAAATTTTCCGCTGAACCTGCGCACGGGGGAACTTATAATTCAACATATATAAAAATTGGTTAAATCATGACTTTAGCCACTAAACTTCATGCATTTCTTAAAACGGTCTGCCATCTTTGAAATCTGACAATTTAATCCCCAAATTTCTTCCAAATACCAATTAAATCCACCACTTTATAATTTCTAAATTTTAGCCCCTAAATTGGGGTGTTACAGGCAGTGTCCTATTTTACTCAACTAACTTTTTAATATTCTCCCTATTGTTTTTCGATTCTTATTTTTTCTTTATGTGAGGTCTGTGTATGATATGGATTACAGAGTTTTACAGATTTATCATTAAGAATCTCCGATAGAAAAAAATGCTTATATGTATAAATGGTTGCATATTGGAAGTTTATGGATATTATTTTTTTTGATAGTCGATTATAACTACCTTTAATTACTCAGTTGCTAAATGGATCCCTTGTACAACAAAAAGAAGATAGCAGATTATCAGATGTTTATCTATGCATCAACTTGTCTATATTATTAATATGATCGTTTCACAGAAGATATTTAGTTTATGACTATTTTCTCAGTCGTTAACTGATAGTTCTTGAGATAACTTGAAATTGGTCTAGATATAATTGTCTCTACCAATCAGCATCCAACTTGATACTTTTACCACCTATACCTCGAGACACTCGCTAGACAGTTTCATCTATTAATTATTTTTCCTTATAATGATTTTACATGATCATATAGCTCATGGGCATAAGTACATAACTTCTTCCTCCCCCAAGAGCAATTGGGATAATGAAATCATATTTTTAAATGTTTTTTTCTTTCTTTTTAAGCAACTTCTTTGGGGTTTCTCTCACATGTTAAGTATTTGATATTCGTGTTGCACTTTTATTTCCAGAAAAAATATCGGGAACAACTGTAACCTTGGTGATAATAGAAGGATGGGTCATAACAGTGGCATCTGTTGGTGATTCCCGGTGTATATTTGACTCAGCTGATGGTGGAATATATTACTTGTCAGCCGATCATAGGCTTGAATGCAATGAAGAGGAGTAAGTTAATGACATGGAGCTTGTTTGATTTGAAAGTTCTCTTAAATTTTGAGGTCTTGCTCTCTGTTTTCTTCTCATCAGAAGGGAACGAATAACTGCAAGTGGGGGTGATATTGGTCGGTTAAATGCTGGTGCTGGTACAGAGGTATCTCCTCGTTCCTTACATCTTTGCAGCTTGCTCTTTTTGATTGCTTCAACACCTTTTCTTTCTAGGCAGTGAAACTTAACACCCTCAAGATATATTCATGTGAATATGGATGTGCAACAAGAATACTTGGAAAACAGAAATTAGAAGCTAGTTTCGGGCATTTCATGACTTATCAAAAATACATTAAATTTATTCGAAAATTGATGTGAATTTGAGGGACTTCTTTTTTAAAACTTAGAAATATAGTTCTAACAATTGAAATTAGCAATAACTTTTCGGTATCCTCTTTGTTTGGATACATATATTAAGAATATGCTTGTAAATTATTTGGTTTCATGTAGAGAATTTCAGTATCTGCAGTAAGTGACAAAAACTGCATTTGATTAAATGTGTGGATATTGTAGATTGGTCCTTTGAGATGTTGGCCTGGAGGCTTGTGTCTTTCACGTTCCATTGGCGATAGGGATGTTGGGGAGTTCATTGTTCCTGTTCCATATGTAAAGCAAATAAAGGTTTTATCTCTCATATTCTTTGTGCACACTGCATTTTATAAATTCTAGTTGGTCTATCTTACCTTCTGCAATTAACTTCTTCGCTTAAAATTGTATTTTGTGCAATGCCTTTCGGGGCACCTGGTTAATGTGTATTTTCCTTATGAAACTGGGCTAAGAGTTTGGTAAGTTGTTTTCTGTAATAGACTACCCTCAGCTTGGACCAATATCTTTTCTGAATTCATCGATCATTGACGGATTTAGTACAGGCATTATGTTCATATCCTTATGTTCTACACATTGGTGGAGCCACCTTATGCATTGTGGGGTCAATTGACCCCCCAAAAAGTTCCATTTTTTAACTTTGTGAAATATAAAAAATAATTTTTATGTGTGAAGAATTGACCCCGAAAAAAATTTAAAAAAGTATTTTACAAAAAATAATTTAATCTATTTCCCCCACTGAAATCCAAAAATTTGTAATGTTTTTATTTTCTTTCAATCTCATCACCTTTTCTCAAATTTCTCTTATTATTTGATACTCTCTAGAAATTTTACAAGATAAGTTATCATTTTTTTCAAGGCTTTCAAGCGGGTCTACTAATTTGGTAATAACTCTTCTTTTCTTTTCAAACTTTAATGATCAATATTAGAAAATTTTGGATTGTGACTTTGCTGGTCATAGATTAGAACTTCAATGCATAGTTTGGATTCTTTATTGATTGAATGATTTTGGTATATTGATTTTCTATGGGATTCCTATGTCTTAACATCTTGGGTAATAATATATAGAGATTGATTAATACAAATCCTTGAAGAAATTAGGATTGGTTGTCTTTACTCTTGATTTTCTGGAATATTGATTAGAAATTTAGCATTGTTGTTTAGAAATTGTGGATGCTAGTGTGATTATTGTGAATATTGTGTTTGTGTTCATTTTGTGTTTATCATATTGCATTCTCATATTAGAAGAAAATTATTAGTTGTATGTTGACGTCATGAAAACCTTATGTATTTAATGGTTAGATTGATTTGTTTAAATCTTCAACACAAGAGAGAATGTGTCGTGAGCAATTATGAAAAATGTACAAGTTATTGAAATTTATATGACATACTTTTTTCTTTTAATTTCTCTACTTCAATAATTTTGTAATAATCATATATTAAACTATATTCTACATTGATTTATCAAGGTTTAATGTTTTTCACATTAGTTTACATGATTTTTTTGGCCATTTTGTTTATGACCCCACAATCGATATTTTCTGGATCCTCCGTTGGACTCTTACACACAGCTGACTTTTGCATATAGGTTTTTTCAACTCCTCGCTATTTTCATTTGTTTGCCCTAATCAGGTTTCTTTAGAAAGGTTGCTAAATGTTTGACTGTCACTGTGCTAGTGGCCTCTTGCTGTTATTAGTAGTTTATTTTACCTACTAGTTTATTTTCTGCAGATGTCTTCAGCTGGTGGTAGGATGATCATCTCTAGCGATGGTGTTTGGGATGCTTTATCGGCTGAAGCAGCTCTTGATTGTTGTCGCGGAATGCCGCCAGATGCAGCAGCTGCACAGATTGTGAAAGTAAAGTCTTGAATTAGATTTGTCCACACCATGCTCTATAAATGTTGGCATTGCTGATGGGAGCACTACGCCCTTCTGCCGTTGCTATATTTTAGTATCAGTTGCCTTTCTCATATATCTTACAACTCCTTGGTCTCCAATGAACAGGATGCTTTGAAGGCTGATGGTCTTCGAGATGATACAACCTGCATTGTTATTGATATCTTACCACCAAAGACGCCAGATCCTCCTCCGACACCACCAAAAAAGCTAATAAAACGCATAATGTCCTTATTTCGCAAGAAACCTTCTGAATCATCTTCTCATTCTGATAAAAAATCCAAGGAGCCAGATGAGGTGGAGGAATTATTTGAGGAGGGATCTGCTATGCTTTCAAAAAGGTTTGTGTGGACGAGGATCCTCTATTTGATAAAATGTTAAAATCTGTCTTTCGATTGTCGGATCAAGCATCAGACCTATATATTGCTTGTTTCTATCCGTTCTGTGGGGCATAACTTGCTATGAATAAGGACATGATTTGGTACATTGTGCTTTCATCTCATGGGGAACATGTCTGTTGGATGCAGGTTGAATACAAAATATCCAGTGTGCAACATGTTTCAACTGTTCATGTGTGCAATCTGTCAGTTAGATTTGAAACCTGGAGAGGGTATTTCCGTTCATGCTGATTCTTCTAGTTCAGTGAAGTTACATCAGTGGGATGGTCCTTTCCTTTGCTCTTGTTGTCAGTTGAAGAAAGAAGCCATGGAAGGGAAAAGACCATCGGAAGGTAATGACTGAACCTCCACTTCTCTTTTTCAATTGCAAATTGGTGTTACTAAAACACCCTCCCCACCCCCATTTTCAGATAGATAAAGCAGTGAAAGTGACTACCCAGGCCTCTCCGATCACTTTGGGCTATAACAATTGTTTTGGAGGTGGTAATTAAGGGGGAAGATGGTGGATTCTTACTACAGCGACTACCTTCAAATTTCTTATTGGAGGGCATGGAGCTCTCTGTCCATTTGCAACCGAGGATTCAGATGAATCTATACTCCCAATCCAAATATCAGTGTTGAAATGTGTTTAGATTTTGCAGAACTACCTCAAGTCCTCAAGTGGTAATAGAAAAGGAAATTCTAAATACAAAATGAGAAAAGATGGGCTGAAGGGTTTTAGTCTCGGCAATGTCTACCGGCATTGCCTCAGAGGTACTTCTTTGTATTTTTTTTTAAACATCTTTGTCCCCCATTGTATACCAAGCGTTTCATTTCTTAGTAGTGTCATAATGTATAGGGCGTTTGGTGAGTACATATGCACATCTGCCAGAAATAAGGAAAAACTTGTGTGACTAGCTTGTTGAATGAAATTTGTTCATCTATCATTTGGTCTATCGGTAGAGCTCGGACTCGTAGTTTTTAGTGTTCAAGGATCAACCTCTGGTTGTCGCAGTTATCAATAGGAAGATAAGCATACACCTACTTAGTTTATGTATACATATCTGTTGTTTTGTGATACCTAGTTGCGGGATCTTGACCTGCGAGAGTCCGAGGATTGATAGATATGTCGAGCACGGGGACTAGCTTTCTTATCGGGGATAGTAGGCACTGCTTGGATGTGAGGAAGTAGACTCTAGTCAAGTCACACTATGAACTCACCTTTTGTGTCCACTCCGTGTACAATTCAAGCTCATTTTCCCCTTTGGTAAACCTTGGAAAGGGAAAGGGAAGAAAGTAAAAATAAGATGAAAATTTATCATTTATCCCTACAAGAATATTTTGTATTAGCATTAGAAAATTATATGTAAAAAAAACTTACTGATTGATTTTTGTCTGAACAGCTCTTTATGTTGCTGGATTAGACTCCAAAGAAAGCTCTAACCCATTGCAGATTTTTTTTAAGGAAAAAGGTTTAAAGTTAGAGATGATTTTGGCACCAAATTCCTGCATTTCATCAAGCACACTGTGGCCTTCTCTTTTCGGCAATAGAATTAGCAACTCCTTTTTACTCCAAACGTAAGAGTTTTTGTATTCTATGTATTCTTTCATTCTTTATTCTTTTTCAGTTTTCCTCGACCATATACCTCTGTCAATGGATTACAATTTTGGATTTTCTGATCTTAACTAAATAAATAAACTATTCTTTTTTTTTCTGTTTGATTAAAAAAACATTTTTATTCAAATATGTAAATAATGATTCAGCCAAGGTATATGATTGAATCATTTTCCCATGATATAAGAGAAATTTTGCATGGATGCCATCCCTAGTGTCTTTAGATTGGGTTGAAGTTCGGTTCCAATTTTTTCAAGTTTAAATTTGAATCCAACTTGTTAGTATATGTTTTTTATATCAATTTAATAGAAGTAGCGGTGAAATGTCCATTTTGTTATAAATCGATAATGTTATTGATCATTTTGTTACAAATCGATAACGGTAGAGATTAATTTGGTATTTTTAAAATTTCAATAGAAAGAAGAAAATTTACTGAAACATTAGTGATCATTGGTGCAGTTTACCCTTTAAATAATTACATTTAATACTTACATTTTAATTTTAAATTTTGGAAATATTGTTGGCGAGAAAAAAATTTGAAAAATGGGGTGGTAGAGAATTAGTTTGGGATTTGTGTCATTTGTTATAGTACACTTAAAACTTGTTATATGGAAGTAATAAATTTTATAAAATATATTAAAAGTAAAACTCATTATATAAAATTGATTAAATTTGTGTGAAATTTGCACCTCCACATTACATGTTTCACTATATGTATATCGTAACAAATGTTTTAGATTCTAAAATATTTTTCATCTGCTCCAATTTTTTAATTTTTTACCACCTGCATTATTTAACAAAAGAATCCAATTATCAATTGATTATTTTTAAATTAATATAATTAAATAAAAATATATAAATAATACAAATTAGATTAGAAGGGATGGCAAAATGTCCTAATAATGTACTTGAGAATATTTAATTCCCAAGATAATGCTCTTCCTGAATTATTTCCTCATCTAGGGTGAAATCTACAATACCGAGCCAAAGACTCTAAGATTACCTGGTGTCTTCAGGCCAACCAGGAAGACTCTAGGATTGCACGGCGTCTTCAGGCAAAATAGGAAATAGGAAAACTCCAAGCCTACCTGGCATTTTCAATCTAGGGTGGTAGGTTGCCTTCGACTTGGAAACATATAAGTAATAATGTCACTATTAATTATTCATTAATAACCCGGGTAGGTTGGTGGTTGAACAGTAAATTATAATAAATACCCGAGATGTTATAAAATGAGGTGTTTTGGTTGAGAATTGGAGAGTAAAGTAGTGATGACGAAAGGGGAGAAGAGGCAATATCTAGAGAAAAATTGAAAGAGTGAGCATTCGAGAAGAAAATTAGAGAAAATTTTGAATGAAATTTTCTTCCAATCTTTAATTTGTAAGTATTATTCGAATAAAATATCTATATTTCATATTATTTAATATTAAAATATTAATTTTAATAAGTTGTTGAAGGTAAAAAGAAGTGAGTAAAAAATTCAAAATTTTTTTTATAACATCAACTTGTCAGAAGAAACTCTCAAGTAAATGTAAAAATATTTTATTTAAAGTATTTTATGATTTATTATTAGTTACATATTGACTTATTAAATATCACTTTACGATTTATTGTTATGTAAATATCATTATTATAAATTTAACATTATTGATTTAGTATTTGTAGTAGAAATGTTAAGATAATTATATAAACATATTTGATTTAGTATTTGTAGTAGAAAAATAATATTTATTATAATGACAAAAAATAATATTTATTATAATGACAAAAAATAATGGCACCATTAATTATCCATTAATAACCCTGGTAGGTTGGTGTTGGTGGTTGAACGAGAAAGTATAATGAATATCCCGAGATGTTATAAAATTAGGTGTTTTGGTTGAGAATTAGGGAGTAATAAATTCGAAGTAATAATAAGTAGTTATAAAAAATCTGAAGTAATAAATTTAATCATTATTATAATGTAATCATAATATTTAATCATTATTTTTATAAAAAAAATATTGTTAATATATTTATATTTTTTGCAAGGTTAAATAATATCGTAGTAGAAAAATAATATTTATTATAATGACGAAAAATAATGACACCATTAATTATCCATTAATAACCCTGATAGGTTGGTGGTTGAATGAGAACATATAATGAATATCGCGGGATGTTATAAAATGAGGTGTTTTGGTTGAGAATTAGGGAGTAATAAATTTGAAGTAAAAATAAGTAGTTATAAAAAATCTGAAGTAATAAATTTAATCATTATTATAATATAATCATAGTATTTAATCATTATTTTTATAAAAAATATTGTTAATATATTTATATTTTTTGCAAGGTTAAATAATATTGTAGTAGAAAAATAATATTTATTATAATGACAAAAAAATAATGGCACCATTAATTATCTATTAATAACCCGGGTAGGTTGGTGGTTGAACGGGAAAGTATAATGAATACCTCGGAATGTTATAAAATGGGGTGCTTTGGCTGAGAATTAGGGAGTAATAAATTCAAAGAAATAATAAGTAGTTATAAAAAAAAATCTGAAGTAACAAATTTAATCATTATTATGTAATCATAATATTTAGTCATTATTTTTATAAAAATATATTGTTAATATATTTACATTTTTTGCAAGGTTAAATAATATTGTAGTAATTAATTTAATTTAATTAATCATAAATTTAAGTTTTTGTCATTAGTATAATTGTACATTTTTAATTCCTGTTTATGTCTTTTAAGTCTTTTAAATTTAGCCGGATCTTATCTTATGTTTATGTCTATATGCAGAGATTCTTTCGCAGGGATAATTATGCAGGGATTAATTCCTGTTACAGACGCACATATGATTTTAATAACTGCATATGAATACTGTTTAGCTATGTATTTATGTATTTATTTATACATGCATTGCATTGTATCTAAATTTTTAATTTTCTGACTGCCGGAGGTCTTCCACGGAAGTTACTCTCAACCTGGCGTTGGGGGTAGCCTACTACCCTACCTCCCCCTTACCCCATACATATGGGAATTGGGTTTTGTTGTTGTTGTTGTTGTTGTACATTTTTACCTTACGAATCATTAGTATAATTTGAATAAGATTGATTTAGTATTTGTAGTAAAAATGTTAAAAATAATTAGATCAACATTTGATTTAGTATTTCTAGTAAAAATGTTAAAAAATATTGTTAATATATTTACATTTTTAATAAAAAAATATTGTTAATATATTTACCTTTTTTAAACTTTAATAATATTTATTATAATTTAATAATTAATTTATTTTCATTATAATCATAAATGTAATTTATCGTCATTACTATAATTTATTTTAATTTATTCTAAATATCTATATTTTTTATGTGTAGAGAAAATGAGCAACAAATTTTTCACGATTGTCTATTACAATGGACAAATTATGGAAAATGTGGTCGAAGTTATTTTTTTAGTCTGAAGCACCTATAAATATGATGTTTAAAAGTGACATCGCATTTGTAGAAATGAAGGAGAGGATAGAAAGGAAAATCTGAGTTTTAGTTGATGGTTTGAGGTACAAGTTTATGGTATGTCCTAATCTAGTCAGGTATGCTGCAATACCACTTAAAGAAGATGATGATATTACAACTATTATTGAATTACATGACTCAACAAATATTCCAATTATTGAGTTATTTGTTAAGGTGTGTAATATATTTGATGTGCCTGGGTCATCAAGAAATATGATTAGAACTTCATCTCAAATGGCTTTCGAAAGTCAATTTGATAACCCGACATATAGGTCGATAAACAACTTCATGACGATGTTGGAAAGTTCAAATGAAGTCGGTGGAATATCTGGAGTCGCAGTGTAATACCCCAAATAGTAGGTCAATGATTATTTTGAAAGGAATTAAAGTTTGGAAGATTAAATGGAATAAGTGGTAAAGTATAAGAAATTATTTAAGTAAAACCAATTAGTAAGAATTGTAATATTGAAAGGGCACTTTGGTCTTTTAGAGTAAAATGAATTTAACACCCATTTAAAGTTAGGGATTTAAGAAAAGGGGAAAGTGAAAAACCAGGATAAGTCATTTTACTCTTCTTCTTCTTTCCCGTGGTTTTCTCTCCTCCATAGCTCCAAAGGTAAACTTTAATTAATTAGTTATTCCTTTCGGTTATGGGTTGTTGTTGCAACGTTAAGTGATATGTAAGCTTAAGGAAAGGTTATATAAGATTAAAACTATGGCATGGGGGAATTATTAGAGAATTAAAAAATGGGTTTTGAAATGATTTGTTAAGATAT